TTAAAGGAAAAAATATGAAATAATAAGAAATAAATAATAAAAGCAAAAGTTGAAAATAAAATGATGAGCTAAATTAACAAAGAAAGAACAAAAAAAAAGCAAGCACAATAAAAAGAAAAAGAAAAAAGAGTATTATTGTTTTTAATTAGTTTTTATAATTTAAAATATCACAAACCAAAACAAATAAATTGTTTTTACCTAAGGTCAAGTGTCAAATTTGAGAGATTAATGCAATTTGCTAAAGAAGAACCTAAGCCTGATGCACCTTCATCACTAATTTAATTGTTACTTTTTAAATATTGAACAAAAAATATATCATTAAATAGTTAATTATAAGGAAAAAATGAAGAAAAAATATGAAATAATAAGAAATAAATAATAAAAGCAAAAGTTGAAAATAAAATGATGAACTAAATTAACAAAAAAAGAACAAAAAAAAAGCAAGCACAATAAAAAGAAAAAGAAAAAGAAAAAAGAGCTTTATTGTTTTTAATTAGTTTTTATAATTTAAAATATCACAATCCAAAACAAATAAATTGTTTTTACTTAAGGTCAAGTGTCAAATTTGAGATATTAATGCAATTTGCTATAGCAGAACCTAAGCCTGATGCACCTTCATCACCAATTTAATTAGACCTTTTTAAATATTGAAGAAAAAATATATCATTAAATAGTTAATTAGAAGGAAAAACGAAGAAAAAATATGAAATAATAAGAAATAAATAATAAAAGCAAAAGTTGAAAATAAAATGATGAACTAAATTAACAAAGAAACAACAAAAAATAAGCAAGTCAATAAAAAGAAAATGAAAAAAGAGCTTTATTGTTTTTTATTAGTTTTTATAATTAAAAATATCACAATCCAAAACAAATAAACTGTTTTTACCTCAGATTAAGTGTCAAATTTGAGAGATTAATGCAATTTGCTAAAGCAGAACCTAAACCTGATGCACCTTCATGACCAATTTAATTTTCACTTTTTAAATATTGAAGAAAAAATATATCATAAAATAGTTAATTAAAGGAAAAAATGAAGAAAAAATATGAAATAATAAGAAATAAATAATAAAAGCAAAAGTTGAAAATAAAATGATGAGCTAAATTAACAAAGAAAGAACAAAAAAAAGCAAGCACAATAAAAAGAAAAAGAAAAAGAAAAAGAAAAAAGAGCTTTATTGTTTTTAATTAGTTTTTATAATTTAAAATATCACAATCCAAAACAAATAAATTGTTTTTACTTAAGGTCAAATGTCAAATTTGAGATATTAATGCAATTTGCTATAGCAGAACCTAAGCCTGATGCACCTTCATCACCAATTTAATTAGACCTTTTTAAATATTGAAGAAAAAATATATCATAAAATAGTTAATTAAAGGAAAAAATGAAGAAAAAATATGAAATAATAAGAAATAAATAATAAAAGCAAAAGTTGAAAATAAAATGATGAGCTAAATTAACAAAGAAAGAACAAAAAAAAAGCAAGCACAATAAAAAGAAAAAGAAAAAAGAGTATTATTGTTTTTAATTAGTTTTTATAATTAAAAATATCACAAACCAAAACAAATAAATTGTTTTTACTGAAGGTCAAGTGTCAAATTTGAGAGATTAATGCAATTTGCTAAAGAAGAACCTAAGCCTGATGCACCTTCATCACTAATCCAACTTTTTAAATATTGAAGAAAAAATATATCATTAAATAGTTAATTAAAGGAAAAAGTGAAGAAAAAATATTTCATTATATAATATATAATAAAAAGTGAACTCCAGCTCAGAAAAAAATAAAAAAATATATTTCATCTCTCGGTCTCAACTGAAAAAAATAAAAATTATATATAATAGAATAATAATAATTGTAATAAAACGATATATGTTTTATATTTGTAGAAAAATAAACAATCAATATGAAATAATAAGATTAATAAAAAATTAATAAAATTAACAAAGAATGAAGAAATAAGAAATCATAATAAAAAGAAAAAGGAAAACAAATTAAATAAATTAAAAGAACTATAATGTTTTAAATTAACTTTTATAATTAAAAATATTACAATGTAAAACAAATAAATAGCTTTTATTAAGTGTAAGTTTTAATAACAAAAAATGAAGAAAAAATATCAAATAATAAAAAATGAATAATAAATAATTAATTAAAAATTGAAATGAAAATTATGTTAAAATAGCTAAAAAAGTTTAGTTTTAACAAAAATCAATAAATAAATAATGATGATAATTATTTTTATAAAAATTATTTATTTAAATCAATTGAAAATTAATTAAATATACAAAAAATATCAATAATAATAAAAATAATATTTTTTAATTAAATATACTAAAGATCAATATGGAGAACCTAATGAGATAAAAGTGAAGAGCTTTTAAACTTTTTTTATTAATTTATATAAATTTAAAGGATATTAGTAAAAAAATTAATAATTACTTCTTCTAATCTATTATATCTTTTAATCTATTACATCATTTATTTATTTTTAAAAAAATATTGAATAGCAATTTATGAAATTTAATTAATTAATTAATTACAAATGGATAAAAAGAACAAATAAATATAATAATTAATTAATTATCAAATATTAATTTATATATTTGGTTTTATGAAGAGAGATATCACAGAAAAATTAATTTAAAATTCACTATTTAAACTTAATATTTAGATTAGAATTTTTGTAATTTTATTAATTTTATTGAATGCGCGCACTTTTTAAAATCTAAATAAAAAATAATTAAGTAATTATAATAATTATTTTATAATTCTATCATAAATTTATATGCAAATTTATTTTTCATACTAAAAATAAATCTACTTAATCAATCATCTATAACGAGTTATTTTGACAATAGCAAATAAATTGATATATTAATTTCAATTTGATATAAAAAGAATCAACAATATTTCTATGAAACTAACTGTAAATATTATCAAGAGTAAAGTTCATCATATTCCTAAATTTTAATATCAGCTTTTATCAATCTTTTCATTATAAGAATTTTGATGCCAAAATTAAAGATAGGTATTTATCTTTTATTATAAAAGTAATAATTATAATTAAATTAGAATAAATAAATAATGCACAAATATTTAAAGTAGTATTAAAAAATAATATTTTTTTTGTTTATGCCTAAAAACTAAAAGAAACAAATAATTGAATATGTTAAAATTAATATTCAAAAATTAAATTAGAATAAATAAAGAATGCACAAATATTTTAAGTAGTATTAAAAAATAATATTTTTTTTGTTTATGGCTATAAACTAAAAGAAACTAATAAATCAAAATATTAAAATTAATATTCAAAAATTAAATTAGAATAAATAAAGAATGCACAAAATATTTAAAGTAGTATTAAAAAATAATATTTTTGTTTTATGGCTAAAAATTAAAAGAAACAAATAAATCAAAATATTAAAATTAATATTCAAAAATTAAATTAGAATAAATAAAGAATGCACAAATATTTAAAGTAGTATTAAAAAATAATATTTTTTTTGTTTATGGCTATAAACTAAAAGAAACTAATAAATGAAAATATTAAAATTAATATTCAAATATTGCAATAGTTTCAAGAAAATAATTAGCTATTATAAATATTTTTGTATAATAAATAAGATTTAGCAATAAGTTGATAATTAAAATATAAACTTAAATAAAAAAATTCACAATAAAAAGAATGAAAATGTAGTAAAAGTATAGTTTTGGAAATATTAAGGCATAATCTAATAATTAAACCTGTTTGTTTTCTTAGTTTTAATATTCAAAATTAAGGATAAAAGTATATTATTTATGTAAATATATTATTTTTACCCTATCTCTAGAACCAAAGTTGTTATTCTAGTGCACTTTTTTAACGCTTAAATTAACTTCTAAGCATCCTCTTATGTAATATCACTTCCACAACTTTTAACATTTGAAACGAAGTTAAAAAAATTTTTTAAGTTAAAAGTTAAATTTAAAATTGAAAATACACTTAAATAAATATTCTTTTAAGTGTTATGACAGCTTTTTTTCTTTTTAATTACCAAAATAATTTTAAAAATATTAATAAATTACCTTTTCTAAAGGTGAAGAACAAAACTTGAGAGCTTAGGGCAATTTGCTAAAGCACAAACTAATTCTGAGGCACAAGAAAAATTAATGAATTTGCTCCTTTTAGATTATTAAAAAATTTGTTTGAATAAAAAAATTGGTTAGAAAAATATTTTTGAGAAAAATTAATATAAAAATAATTTAAAAGAGCAATTTATATATTGAGATTTTGTTTATTTATTTTAAATGTTAATAATATCAACTAAAGAATATAAATAAATAAATTATTTTTACTTGAAATTCAATTTTAAATTTGAGAGATTAATGCATTTTGATAAAGCTAAACCTGTTTAATATGCATCTTCGTAAAGGTGATATCTTTTTATAGTTAACATGAAAAATTTAATATTATGAAAAATATGTAATAATGGTCAAAATTTTAATTTAAAGTTAAAAGAAGAAGTAAATAAATTATTCAATGAATAAAACAATCAGTAATGATATAATTCAAATTTTTCTATCTTGAAATACCATAAGTCATCATTTTTTAACATCTTTCTACTCAACTTTTCAGAAGACTAAAAAAACAGTTATAAATAAAAGCAAAAAACTATTTTTACTCAAGATAAAGCTCCAAACTAGAGAGCTTATGGTATTTTGATAAATCATAAACTAATTCTGGTACTCTTATTAATTCTTTAAAATATAGATCGCTATTTTATATTTTATAGATTTTAGAATTTATTATTAAAAATGTTGAATTAAAAATATAAAAAATGAATAATGAATGCTTAAAATTTGAAAATATGAATATGTAAAAATAATTTCATTAATCTATGGATAAAAGAGTAAAAAATAAAGAAAACAAAAGAATTATTTTATAATATAAATTTACAAGCAATCATTTTATAATCATTTGTATGTTTTTTTTAATAAATAATTTAAATTTTAATAAAACAAATTAAATTATTTTACAGAAAATTAAGGCTTAAATTTTTGAGGTTAAGGCATTTATTTAAACCAATAACTAACTCAGATATATCATTTTAAGTCATTTAGTTCATCCTTTTTAATATATGATGAGAAATTAAGACAATGTAATAAATATGAAAATGACTAAATAATGAAAATTTTAATTTAATAGCTTATATTAATTTAAGTAAGTAAGCAAGTAGTAAATTTATTAATAATTTCAAATATTCTTTATATTTTTAATGCAACAATAAAAAATATTATTTTTTCTTTATAAAGAATTCTAAGAAAATCAAATAAATTTCTTTTACGAGAGATCGAGTGTTAATTTTTAAAGATTAAGGCATTTTGCTAAAGTAAAACTTAAGTCTTACACAAATTTGCCATTTATTTTGCAGAACCTTTTTATTTAAAAAAAATTATAAATGAAAAAAAATAGAAAAAATAAATTTTAATTAACAATTATAAAATTTTTAATTTAAAAAACTAAATTTAAATTTTATATGTATAAATCATTTAATTAAAGTTAAGTAAATAAAACTAGTAGAGATTTAAAATTTATAGTTATTTTCCTACTTTTTTTAAATAAAATGTAAAAAAATACTCATTAAATAAAAAAAAATTATTTTTACTTAAAGCCTAAAACAAAAATTTATAGGTTAACGCACTTTTCTAGGCCACAAATTAATTATGAAATATTATTTTCATCTTTATATTAATTACTTTTTAAAATAAAAAGTTATATTTTTAGTTTGCAGAAAATAATTTTTAGAATTTATTTGATAAAAAAATAAATTAATTAATTAAATTAAAACTCAAACTTGAAAAATAAAATAAATAAATAAATAAGAAAAAGATAAAAATAATTAAATCTTCATTTTTAATATTAATTTTTAAATTAAAATAAGATTTAATAAACATTTTTTGGTAATTCTTATTAAAAAATAAAGATTGATTATACGCTATGAAAATTTCTAGATTTGTGATAGATTATTGTTAAGAATCTAAAAACTGTTTTGATTTAATTAAAAAATATGTAAATTTATAAATAATAAAATAACAAATTACTTTTTCAATTTTATAAAATCTTTCAATTTTTTTTTAAATCATTTTTTTCTTTTAGTTAATTTTGAATCTCTAATATTTGTTTCTAGTAAATTAATTAATTTTAATAATACAAAATTTCTTATTTTTATAATATTTAAAAATAGTTTTAATTAAAAAGAATATTATTTATCCATTCAAAATTTATTTATCTAATCAAAAAAGAGTTTAAGCTAAGAGATATTAGGAGATAAAGAAATTTTTGATAATTTTATTTAATATAGTAAATACATCCAGGAATTGTAATTTCATTATCAATCCTTTTAATCCATAGTTACTTATGTATTAATTAAATATTTCAACAAAATCTTTAAGAAAATTGATTTGTTTTTCTTTAATAAAATTAATGAAAGAATCATTGGGGTTGTAAAAATATTTTTTTATTTACCATAATCATATTAAAATTTAAAAATAATTATTTGATGAAAAAATTTTTTATTAATTTTATAAAATTAGGCCAAAGATAAACACCAAAATATTTATAAAAATGATTTATTATAATCATTCATAGTGTATATTTATTGAAACTGATAATTATTTATTTAGATAACAAATTTTAGAAAGTAGTTAAGACTTGTTTATAGAAAAGGAAATGCTGATATAATTAAAGATATAACTAAGTTTATAATACATTTTGTAGAGATTAAAGGATAAAACATAATATATTATTAAATTTAGTTTTTATTAAATTATAAATTTATTTTTGAAGCTTTGTTCATTATAATAAAATATTTTTTTTTACTTATTTGTTTTAATTTCTTATAAAAAATTTGGATTCATTATTAATTCATTTTAGGACAAAGTTTTACTTTTAAGAATTGTTTAATAATTCACCATTTGTATTTATATTTTAATTATTTTAATTCGATAATGAAGAAGGCTGCATTGGTTGCCTTTATGTGTTGTTTTAAGGGTTGTTATTAATATTGTTTTAACTAGGTTAGCTTTATTTAAGGATATCTGTGAGAATTTGCTTCGTGTACTTTAACCTCTTTTCCATTTCAGGTGAGTACATTTTTAGATCAGGAGTTAAGGGATAGTTTTATCTAATGCCTTACTTGTTGTTAAATGTGACTATTTTCATGATGCTGTTTAAAATAATTTCAGTCTTATCTGAGAAGCTGACTTGTACAATCTTATTTTGCAAGCGAAACAAAATAGCATTTTTTGTTTTTACCCACTTCTTGACATAATACAACATTTTTTTACCAGTTTAATTATCTAAGAATGTGCTTGGAGGATTAACATCGTAGTTATTATTAGCATTTTAATTGTTAGATCCATGATCGCCTTGTAAATAGCTTCTAAAATGCTCTAAAAGGGTAACTTTTTTCTTGAGTTCTTAGGGATAATTATCAGGTGTGAAGGTTATGCTTTTTTGGTATTTCTCTTCAGGCTATTTTTCGTAATATTCAATATACTGACCTTCTGGATCGATTACAATTTTAGTAAAATCATTAAAGAATACACCAATAGTTCCATTATTCAGTGCATATCCTAACCCGTATTTATTTGAATAATCTACCCATTGAGTAACCCATATTTCTGAAGCTGGAGGAGTATTTACCAAAATATTTTCTGAATTTAAATCGCTGTTAAACTATCCGTGCTTTAAAGTTTGCATAGACTACATTTTTAACAAATTTGCTTGATCCATTTAGTTGCTACCTAAATTTTTATTGCTTTAAGACCTCATATTTCCATTTAAATCCTTTGTTCCGTTTAGTTATAACCCAGATTAAGTTGCTGCCATATTCATTTAGCTTTAAGTAGAAGCTAAGCTTCCTGAACCTATCTTTTAATCTTGTACTATTTAGTTATTACTCTTTTCTTTTAATGCTTCCTTTTTAGGCTTCTAAAATGGCACCACTAAAGAAGAAATAGGTAAATTTTCAGGATTCAAAGCTGTTCCTTGCATGAAAGGGTGCTCTAATAATTCATCTAATGTTAGACGTTTTTAAGGATTCAAATTTAAAATGCTAGTGATGATAGACTTAGCATTGTCAGATATTTAAATCTATTCTGGGAAACAATAATTGTTCATTTTGATTCTTTTATATGTAGTTCTGACGTCCTTAGTTTCAAATGGAGGCTTTTTTATATAAAAATTGTTACTAAATATTCATTAAATTGTTATAAAATCAAAATCTTAGCAATTAGTAAAAAAAATCCACTGACTTTTTTATTTTTGTTCTAGTTAAAATTTTAATTATTTACTCATTTTATTTAGGAATAGATTTTTAATTTTTTAACAAAATTTTACTCTTCCAAAAATATATTTTTATTTTTTAGAAGAATGATAAATTGAAAGGACCTTTCAGTATTTGATTTACCATTAAAGAAATAATTTTTTAATGCTTTCAAAATAATAATTTTCTTTTACTTTCAAATAAAATAATAATTTTTTATTGCCTTCAAACAAAATAATAATTTTTTGATTCAAGTTGTTTCTTTTTGAGATGAGATTGATTAATTTTTTGAAATCGCTGCTTTCAAAATAATAATTTAGATTTTGTGAAAGTTTTTTTACCTTTCCAATAAGCAAAGTATAAATGATGACTCCCAATGACCACATATCAACTTCATAGGAATGCCCATCTTTTCCTTCAAGTATTTCTGGTGCTATATAGTTAGGAGTACCGCATACTGTTTTCTTTTTCTCTCCTTCATATTCTATTTTAGTAGCTAAACCAAAATCACCAATTTTAAGTGTCATGTTGTCACCTAAAAATAGATTGCCCAATTTAAGATCACGGTGGATAATTTTATTTTAATGGAGATATTTCAGGGCATTCACTATTTGCATTACGTAAATTTATGTTTCGTATTCTGTAATACGCTTTCTACGCTTGATTAGCTCATTAAGAGTTTAATAAGGACACAATTCAAGAAGAATGTAAACATTATCATGATCCTCAAAAACATGCTCAAACTAAACAATATTCTTATGATGCAAGCTCTTATGAATTTTAATTTCTGAAATCAATTTCACTCTTTATCTGCTTTTAGTTAAAGTTGACTTTGGAATTATCTTGGCAGCAAATATTGCCTTCGGATCTGTGTCTAAAGCAATCACTTCATAACATTTTGCAAAACCTCCACTACCTAATAACTTTCCTCTAGAATACTTTTTAATAATCTTTTCACCTGTTACTTTATTTTCCGTCTTTTCTTCTATTATCTTTTATTCAGTAGGGTAGTTGGCTACACCTTGATCATTGTTATTATTCTAACCTTACTCGGATTATTTTTGCTGGGGTTACTACTAAGCAGCTTATTAAGACATAAATTATTTATTCTCTACTGTTAATTGAACTTCGACCTTTGATAACACGCTCTCTTTTTTAATTAAAATTAATTTTTTCTTGCTTTAATTGAATTTTTCTTTAAATTTTTTCAAATTTATTAATCGTAAAAGAATTCCACTAATATTTATTTATTCATCAATTCATTCATTTATTTGCAAATAAACTAATTAATTAAATAAATAAATACATGACTCATCTTTCCTCATGCACATGCACTTAATCATATTTAAAATTCACTCTCTTATTAGAATTAAATAACTAAATAATAAATTTATTGTTTTTCACATCCAAATATTTAGAAAAAAACTGTTAAATTTTTGTTATGTTGTAACTTAATATTAAGCAATAGGATTTTTATACCAAAAACACCACCACACCTTCCTTATCAAAATCTCTAAGCCTTCTTAAAAGAATACTTCAACACGAATTAATCTATCTATCTTATCAATATATCTTATAAAATCTTTAAAATTTTCAGTTTAATAATTTATTATTCTTTAAAGTAAATACTATTCTAAAAAAATATAAAACTAGTTTGGATATTTAACATTTACTGATATTTGAATATTAAATTATAATTAATAAGTATAAAATAAACATCTAAAATTTTATTTAAAAATGCATTAATAATTAAATAATTAATTATTATTTTCATAAATGGTGTTTATAAAAATTCATTGAATTAGAATTTTAAAATATCTTTAAAAATAAAAATTTAATAATTTTGTTATTTTTTAAAGTATTTTTTATATTAAAAAGCTATAAATCAGCTTGAATAGTTAATTTTTGCTGATTCTTAATAATCAAATAATAATAAATCAACATAAAATTAATAATCAAAAATTTGTTTAATAATCAATATAAGATAATTGATTAATATCTTCTAAAATTTGTTTATGAATTTTAACAATTAATTCAAAATATCTTTTAAATTAAAAATATAATAAATTGTTATTTTTTAATTTAAAAGTTATTTAAAAAAATTATAAATTATTTTGAATAATTAATTTTTGTAGATTTTTAATTTTTTAATAATAATAAACCAAGATCAAAAATTTTATTTAATAATGTTTTAATAATTAAACAATTGATAAATATCTTTAAGGATGGTGTTTATGAATAATACAATTAACAATTTAATCTAAAATAAAATAAAAATGTTAATAATTATTATTTTTTTATAAAATTAGGCTTAATTTTTAATAAGCAAATAATATAATAAAATATGTTAATATGAAATAAATGATCAATAAATTTGTTAAAAAATACATTAATAACTAATTAATATCTGCAAAAATATGTTTATGAATTTATTGAATTTAAAATTAAAATATCTTTAAAATAAAATAATTAATAATTTGTTATATTTTAAATATAAATTATATTATAAAAAAGAATAAATTAGCTTGAATAATTATTTTTTTGATTAAATAATAATAAATAAAAATAAAATAAATGATTAAATAGTTTGTTTAATAATGCATTAATATTTTAAAAATATTTAATATCTCCAAAAATAGTGTTTATGAAATTTATTAAAATAACAACTTAAATATGTTTTTAAAGTAGGACATTTTTTTGGTTGAAATTTGCCTCTTTATAATTTTTGGCGCAAATTTAATTATATAATTAATTACTTTAGATTCTAAATATCAAACAAATTATTTAATTAGTACAAGATTTATATTTGGCAACATAATAGGTTTAATAAAGATAATTAATACATTAAATGTCTAAAAATTAAGAAGATAAAATTCCAGAAATTTAAGCATCATACGTTCTTAACTTTCTTAAAGCAAAAATAGGAAAAGATACAGTTATTTCATCTAATTTTAGAAAAGAATTCTCAAAATGTCTTTCTTTGTTTTTATTTTATTTAGCTACTATGTAAATTTATCACATTTATTATTGAAATTATTCACCTGTAATTTATATTTAACAGTGCGAAACATGGCTAAGGCGATTTAAAGAAAAAAATTAATAAAAATATCTTATTTAAGGCTTTGTCTGATATTGGCTTTGAAGATTTTGCTGAATAGTTAGAGGGTAAACATTTTATAATTTAAATAAATGGTAATTAATTCTATTTATTTATTTTCAAAATCTTAGAAATGTAAATTGACTTTAAGCAAAATCCTTCTGTTAGGACTCAATAAAAATAAGCTTCAAAAAACGAACATGAAGATGATCTTCTATCAGAGCATAAAAATTAAAAAAATGAACTAGAAGAAGAAGATAAATAAGATGATATTTAAAGTGATGCTTCTGGTTAAGATTTATAAGAAGTAGATTTAAATTAAGGAGAATAATAAAATATTGAATAAAATGAAAAGCCACAAGAATTTATATTAGATTAGATAAATAGAATGCAACCTTAATTAAATAAAAATGATGAATATGAGGAAATTTTTTGATGAGAAAAATAATAATGTATATAATTTAAATTAATATTAATTAATCTATTTATTAAGTACTAAACTAACTATTTTATGTCAAAATGAAATCTTTCCATAAAAATATTAAAAGAAACCATTAAAAATAAGTAAATTTCATTATTAAAAGTTAAATAATTATTTGAAATAAAATGTATGTGTAAAAAAATATTTTATAAATTTGCTTCGATTTGATATATCATCTAGACTTTTAAGCTTAAATATGTATTCAAATCCATAAAACTAGAATATAAAATAAATTTAAAGTTTATTAGACAAATTAATTATTCTTCTTGGATTTCTTGGATAAAATCTTTTTTAAGAGAAACCGTTAAATATGATTAATAAAATAAATTTTAATTTGCTTATATATTTAATACTTAACCAGTTTTGTGATATGAGTAATTAATGTTTAAAAATTAAATGCAATATTTTATCAAGGAAGATAATATTGTGGATTAATAATACTGTAAGATGCTAAATTAATAATTTTTTGTACAGTAAATATTTTTTTTATAAAAATGTTAAACATTTAAAAGTATTAAATTAATTTATTTATAAAAATGGAATAAATGTTAAATATTACACAATTTATGTTTTAAAATTTAATAAATATATATATATATGTAATTAACCCTAAGTTTATCTGGCTGCTAGCCAATTTAAAGTTTATACAATATTAAGAAATTTTTAAAAATTGAAATATTTATTTATGGACAATTAAATTTCAATTTATAAAACTTTATTAAATTGTTTTAATTATGTTGTAAATTTTTTAATAAAGATGATTTATAAGAAAAATTTATTGTTTTTAAAATGAGGATGGAAAAAAGATTTCATAGAATAAAAAATATATTTTTATAAATAGAATTTTTTATATCTTATATAATTGATTATTAAATACTAAAATAAACTTAAACAAAAATTTAAATATTTATTTGAAGAAATACTAGCTGTTAAATAATGGTAATATAAAAGATTCAAAATAAATTAATAATTTAAAAATAAAATTTATTAAAATATATATGAAGCTCTATCAATCAATGATAAGAATTAGAAATCTTCTTGAAAAAATATGAATTGAAAAAAGATACGTTGATTTTATGAAAATCAATGAACAAATAATATCATTCAATTTTTGAAATAATCAACATAACTATTAAATAGGATTATAATCTAAAAACTAAAAGATATTGTTCATTCTATTTTCTTGAAATTTCATTGTTTTTTAATTAAAAAAATTTCTAATTAAACTAAAAAAAATAAAATAAAAGTTGACACAAAGCCAACTTTCAATTCAGCATAATTAATAGAAAAAATATACATTTATATAGATTAGCCATAATAGTATCTAAATATAAAGTTAATAATGTAGGAAAATTTATTAGACATGGATGACATTTTTACAAAGTCCATAGGAAATTCACCATTAAATGAAAATATAGAATCGTTAGATAAATTGGAGTAAGTGATTGCTGAGTTCGATGAGGGTCTAAGAGACAATAAATATACATTAACCTCCTCCATACTTAAGGATTCAGACTAATTTTAATAGCAAAGTCTACCATAGAATGAGACACAAAATGATTTATTGTACATAAATGATTAAAATTAATTTTTAGAGGAATAAGAAGAAAATTTATTACAAATAGAGGCTGACAAATTTATTGATTAGCCATAATCCTCTAATGTTTTAAAAGAGATATCTTAGTCATAGGTACCATTTTTTTTTTTCATCTTTTTAACATGTTTGAATTTTTATACCAATAATTTATTTAGATAATAAATGTTAATTCTTAGAAAAATAATGAAAGTGAGTTAAGTAAAAAAAATGAAAGCTCATTTTCTGTTAAAGATGATGTGCTTGGAGGAATTCAACTTTCTTATGTAGATTTCTCAAAAAAAATTTACTAACAATACAAGGAATAGTTAGTAAAAAATCAAGAAAATTAGATTAATTAATTTACAAATAGCTAATCTTGTGAATAAATTAGCACCAGAAATATCAATATTAACAATTTACCAAAATAAGAAAATCGATAATAAGAATAAGCAGAAGATGAGAGATAAATGTGTTTAGAAAAAGGTATCGGAAAAATAAAGGAATTAGGAGATACTATTAAGAACTCAATTAACATCATGCACCAAAAATTTAATGAGGTAAAGGGATGCGTATCATAGTTAGCTGAGCAAGATAAGCACAAAGATATGTGGGATAATAAACTAAACGAGTTTTACAATAAGCTATTTAGATAGGCGAGTAAAGCTTTATTTACTTCTAACATAGCAAATAACAATACTCCTTCCAAACTAGTTATTTAAAAACCTTAAAGCGTTTATAGATTTAATACAAAATCCTCTGTGACAAAACCTCTCTCAAGCAACATTAGCAATATTTAGAATAGAAAACCTGGTAGTGTAAATAAGTTTAGTGTTCTTAATAAACCTAAATCAGTCAGTAAATTTTAAATGACTGCTTAAGAAAAGCCCAGCGAAGAAAGCAAAGCAAGTAGCAGTAATATCAATACAAATTTACCTTAAAATCAAAGATAAAAGTCCTTCACAGTACAAAAATTTAATACTAATAAAATTAATCAAACATAACCAGCAACAAATAACACCAATTTAGGAGTTTTAAAAAGTAGTAAAGACATTAAAAAAGATTCTCTTAAAAAACCATCAACAACTCCATCATCTTTATTATCATATAAAAAATAAAGCCTTGGAAAAGAAAACATTAATTTTTTTAAAAAGTGAAAATCTATATAAATAAATAATTTAATTAAATTAAAATGTGCATAAATTTTGTTTAAATATTATTATAATATATTATTTTTTATTTTATATATTTTTTCTATAATTTTGTTTTACTCAATTTCTATTTTAATTCAAAAAAAAAAACCTTTTACGAAATTGAAATTCAACAAAATAACTTTTAATTACTGCAAAACCTCAATAATAAATACACAAATATATTAACTTCAACCAATTTATAAATAAGTATAATTAGAGAAAAATAAAGTATTTTGAATTAAAATTATTACAATAAACTCTGCTGATATAAAGTAAATATTTAAGCATAAAGGATATAACATTTTGAATAAAATTTGATTTCTTTATTACACTTTGGGTATTGAAAAATTGATATAGTTACAATATTCATTTCATTTATTTTTTGTTAAATTACCTCATTATTCGTCTTCATCTTCTGCAATATCTAATTCTCTACCTAGTGTATCGTAAGGTAGAATAAAATCAACTAAAGCAGTTAGTAAACTTAAGCAACTAAATAGTAAAAAGGGAGCAAAAAGATTTATTCTTTATAAATAAAAGCTAATCCAAGGCATTACACTTCCTCCACTTCTACCTATTCCATTAGCCATTCCAACTCCTGTTGTGCGAATTTTGGTTGAATAAACTTCTGCTGTAAATTAATAGGAAAAAATAAAGGTCATTGTTAAAAAGAATTTGCAAACAGAAGCCCACAAAACGAAATGATCCATTCCATCAACATAGACCATAAGACAAGCAATTGCTTATAGTATATAGCAAATAATCATCGAATTTTTTCTGCCTAATCCTTTTATTTCAATTAAAAAGGAAGCTATACTAGCTGAGATCATTTCTGTAAAAGTACTCAAAGCTAATTTAACCATATCATTTGCATCATTGGGATCTTTTTGTTTATGTGTTAATTTCATAATTTCATCCATCATTTTAGGCATAAGCACTAAAATTCCGTAATACATAAAACTGAGAGTAAACCAATTAAACCAAACAAGGGGAGTAATCAATTTTCCATCACCTTTAAATAGTGAAGCAAGACTTCCTTTTTATTAATGAAGACTTTTGTTGACTTCTCTAGACCATGTTTTAAGGTGATTTTTCGTTGATTCACTAATTTCAATTGTATTCAATCTATTTCCATTCATGCGATTCATTTTATTTATTATTTTAAATGCTTCTTCAAACCTTCCATCAATAATATCAAATCTTGCACTTTCATCTAAATATAAATAACCTATTATCCATGCTAATAATCCTGGTAGTCCTGTCCAAACAATTAATGCCCTCCAATTACCCTTATCCAAACTTTCTAAAGTAAAATACCCAATGAATTATCCATATAACTAACCAAGTGAAAAGCTAACTGTAATTAAACTCATGAATCTTCCTCTAACTGCCAAAGGAGTTACTTCTGCTAACAATGTAACACCTAAAGGTCCAAAGAATCCAACTAATAAGTAATTAAATAATAAAAATTATTTTATTTTTTTAAAAAATCAAACAATTAATTCATAATAAAATACTATCTGTTTTTTAATTAAGCTTACAAAAAATATCTTTTAATTTGGCTTTGATTCGAGCATTAAATTATAAAGAGAATTAAAAGTAAAAGAAATGAATTACCTAGTATTGCACAAAGGAATCTAAGAATAGTCATTTAAATTATGTTAGTTGTAATAGCCTGTAGCATAGTAAATACAACTGTTAACAAGCTACTATAAATAAATGGTTTCTTTCTGCCATATCTGTCAGCGAATTGCCCACTTAAAACGCTACCAACCAAAAACCCTAAAAACACTAAGCATACTTGTAGGGAGTTAGCATCATCTTACACATCCCATTCATTTTTAAGTAAAGGAATCATAATAGTAAATACTGAAACTTATGCTCCTTCAGTCAAGCCTAATGTTGCCATAACAGCATAAAATAAATATTGATATGGTCCAATACCAATATCAGATAAAACATGATCAAACGAAATGATTATGTTATCGCATAAAAGCTTATTCGTGTTTCCTCTAGTGCTTACATTATTTCCATTTTATATAGACCTATTTTCGCTTTAATTCTAGGCGCTTTTTAACTAATTTTATGATTTAAGTTAGATGTTAGAAGTGTCATCGAAAAAATCGTTTTTATCCTAGAAGCTTTTATATTCAAAATTGTCTTCTTATCCCTCATTAAACGATTACTACAATCCTAAGCTTCTCTATGAAGGATTCTATTTCATTCTAAATTTATTTTGCTTTTCCCTATTATTTAATTAACACTATGGCGGAGGCTACAAAGTCCTTTAAATATATTTAAGTTATTTAAAATGAATATCTTTTAAATAAATAAACAATTAAATAAATAGGATTAATTTAATTTCTTTTCTTAAAAATAATTTGATTCTATCAATATGATTGTAAAAAAAAAACAGCGATTGATTTTGATACTGAAAATTAAAAGATAAATTTTAAAATTATCTCTTTGGTTGTTCAAAGAATAAATTAACCATGAAATAAGATAGTAAATAAATCTTATTTAATTATTTCAGTGCATTTATTATAAATAAATTATTTCATCAGTAAAATCATAAGTAGTGTTTGTTTATTCAACATAATATGTTAACTTTTTCACTAATAGAACCATCTATTTATTTATTTCTTTCTTTTTACATTTATTCAATTTCAGTATTTTATTCATAATATTCCATCAATCAAAATTAAAATTAATTTACAAGCATAACTCTTCTTGAAAATAGTTAAATATCAACAATTTCCATTTGTAAAATAAAGGGTAGTATTTAGTTATTAAAAAAGACTTTAACTTATTTATTTTCTAAACAGTACTGTATATGACTAATCATTTTCATATTTTTTTTATTTCGTTGTTTTCTTACATGTTTTTAATATTTTTAATCAAAATTTTTATAATAAATATCTAAATTTATTAAATATTAATTCACAAATATAACTTATTAATTTTTTAAGTAGATCCTTTAAGTAAAATTCAAACTATGGCTTATTTATATATGAATAATAATATATTATTTGGTTGAAATATATTACTTTAAATTTAATAATGATCTACTTAGATAGAATATTTAATTTTACTTTTATACTAAATTCAAAATCATCAGTAAGATTTTAAGCAATTTTTTCTATTTTATATATTTTTATTTCATTACCAAGTCAACGAGATATTTATAGCAATCTAAATTTTATTAATATTAATTTAATGGTCGTGCTTGATGATTGTGCTTATTGTTTGTATAGGCTTTTGAGCCATGATTTCTAAAAACTAAAAATTTTGAGCCCTTTGTTTTTTTTTTATTTGATTAAAATCTTTTATTCAAAATAAGTAAATACATAAAAAAAAAATGTAAATTTTTTTATAAAGCGACTAAACTAAATTTAAAATATCAAAAAAAAAAAAAAAATTAATGATTGACTCCAAAAACAAAGATCATTTTCAGCATCCATTTTCACATCTTGCATTTTTTTGCTAATACATACATATTTATTTCATAAGTACCCATAGATAAAGCAAAACCTGCAAACCTCCAATTTGCATTTTTCTAGAATATTTAGAGAACATTTTATAATAAAAAATAAACAAGATAAACATTATAAAATTTATCAAATCAGATTAAAAAAAATTACATAAATTCTTGATATGAAATAAGCTTATAAAAAGCCAAATTTAGCATTAACGACTTTTAAATTCCTTAATTTACTCTAAATATTCTTATATAAAAAAATCAAATTTGTATTGTATGAATGAATAAATGATAATTTAAAAAAACAATTATTTTATAATTTTAAAAAATATAAAATGAAAAAAATGATCATAAGATAAATTAAAAATTTGAGAAAAAAAAAACAAAACATTAAAACCACTAAAGTTAAAATAAAAAGTAAAATTGATTTCTCCCTGAGGTTTTATTTAAATCATGGTATCTAATTAATCATGTTAAATAAAAAAAGGATAGAAATATGATTGATGGATAATGTTTAAGATTAAAATATTACTAAAAAGTTTGGCATTTATATAATTTAATAAGATTTAATATAACACTAAAAGTTTCAAATTATTTGATCATTTTTGGAGAAACCAGAGAGTTTGCTTATGAGGATTAAATTATTTAAGTAAATTTAATTTTTTTATTTATAAATAATTTATTTACTTACAAAAATATGAATAATATTTAATAATATAAAATCTATCTATCTATTTATATTTTAGGTTAAAAACACTTTTTCAAAATATTATATAATAAAATATATAATACTATTCAAACATTTTATATTTATTCATCCTTTTTTCACCATTAGTTTATCTAAAAGACAACTAATCTTTTTGATTTAAGACACTTGCTTTTTACCTTGAGTTCTAATGATTTATTCATTGAGCTAAACATTTTATAATAAATTTGTGTAAATTTTAAAATAAATATCAAAATAGAATAAACTTTTAAATTAAAAATTAAATTAATACATAAAATAATTTGAGTGGAATAAAAAAGATAAAAAAATAAAATAAATAAAGCTATCAAATATATTCAAAGAGCTTTTTTGTGTTATATTCATTTTTATAGTTTAAAATATCATATTAGAAGGAAAAAATGAAGAAAAAATATGAAATAATAAGAAATAAATGATAAAAGCAAAAGTTGAAAATAAAATGATCAGCTAAATTAACAAAGAAACAACAAAAAAAAGCAAGCACAATAAAAAGAAAAAGAAAAAAGAGCTTTATTGTTTTTTATTAGTTTGTTTTTATAATTAAAAATATCACAATCCAAAACAAATAAACTGTTTTTACGTAAGGTAAAGTGTCAAATTTGAGAGATTAATGCAATTTGCTAAAGCAGAACCTAAGCCTGATGCACCTTCATCACCAATTTAATTAGACCTTTTTAAATATTGAAGAAAAAATATATCATTAAATATTTAATTAGAAGGAAAAAATGATGAAAAAATATGAAAGAATAAGAAATAAATAATAAAAGCAAAAGTTGAAAATAAAATGATGAGCTAAATTAACAAAGAAACAACAAAAAAAAGCAAGCACAATAAAAAGAAAAAGAAAAAAGAGCTTTATTGTTTTTTATTAGCTTTTATAATTAAAAATATCACAATCCAAAACAAATAAACTGTTTTTACCTAAGGTCAAGTGTCAAATTTGAGAGATTAATGCAATTTGCTAAAGCAGAACCTAAGCCTGATGCACCTTCATCACCAATTTAATTTCTACTTTTTAAATATTGAAGATAAAATATATCATTAAATAGTTAATTAGAAGGAAAAAATGAAGAAAAAATATGAAATAATAAGAAATAAATAATAAAAGTAAAAGTTGAAAATAAAATGATGAGCTAAATTAACAAAGAAAGAAAGAACAAAATAAAGCAAGCACAATAAAAAGAAAAAGAAAAAAGAGCTTTATTGTTTTTTATTAGCTTTTATAATTAAAAATATCACAATCCAAAACAAATAAACTGTTTTTACTTAAGGTCAAGTGTCAAATTTGAGAGATTAATGCAATTTGCTAAAGCAGAACCTAAGCCTGATGCACCTTCATCACCAATTTAATTTCTACTTTTTAAATATTGAAGATAAAATATATCATTAAATAGTTAATTAGAAGGAAAAAATGAAGAAAAAATATGAAATAATAAGAAATAAATAATAAAAGTAAAAGTTGAAAATAAAATGATGAGCTAAATTAACAAAGAAAGAAAGAACAAAATAAAGCAAGCACAATAAAAAGAAAAAGAAAAAAGAGCTTTATTGTTTTTTATTAGCTTTTATAATTAAAAATATCACAATCCAAAACAAATAAACTGTTTTTACATAAGGTCAAGTGTCAAATTTGAGAGATTAATGCAATTTGCTAAAGCAGAACCTAAGCCTGATGCACCTTCATCACCAATTTAATTTCTACTTTTTAAATATTGAAGATAAAATATATCATTAAATAGTTAATTAGAAGGAAAAAATGAAGAAAAAATATGAAATAATAAGAAATAAATAATAAAAGCAAAAGTTGAAAATAAAATGATGAGCTAAATTAACAAAGAAACAACAAAAAAAAGCAAGCACAATAAAAAGAAAAAGAAAAAAGAGCTTTATTGTTTTTAATTAGTTTTTATAATTAAAAATATCACAATCCAAAACAAATAAACTGTTTTTACCTAAGGTCAAGTGTCAAATTTGAGAGATTAATGCAATTTGCTAAAGCAGAACCTAAGCCTGATGCACCTTCATCACCAATTTAATTTCTACTTTTTAAATATTGAAGATAAAATATATCATTAAATAGTTAATTAGAAGGAAAAAATGAAAAATAAAATAAAAGTTAGGTGTCATAAATTGAAAAATCTTAAAAATAACAACCCCCTTAAAAAGCTGAAAATTTTGAGCCAACAATAAAAAAAGTAAGAGTTTTAAATTCTTAAAAAATTCTTTTTTAAGAGAACACATTCCCCAATGAAAATGAAAAGCCAATAAATTAGTAAAGCGGATAAAGTGGTGAATAAGTAAAGAAAACTGAAGATATTAAAAATATAGTAAATTAAATTGGGCTCATTTAAGTCAAAAATGCTGCTAAAAATAATAATAAAACTTAAAAAAAAATATCAAAAATTACGGATTACTTAAATCAGGATTAAGTTAATAAAAATGCAAATAATA